TTCCTTCCTTCCTTTCTTCTTTCTTTTTTTGTGTGTGTGTTGAGCTTCAGTCCCTATTGAAGACTATGTTCCTTTACCTTCCTTCATAAACACTTTAGGTCTTCTCTGTTTAAGCAACCAAGTTGTGTCATTTGAATTATGGCAGGTTGTCATTAGCTCTTCCTCCAGTCATCATCCTGCCACATTCCTCTTCATAAAGTCTAGCTTCCCAAGTACTCCATTCCACATATGGATTCATTTTATGGAGACAAGATACATCAATCCCTGACACACTTCTTTCTTGATCTTGAACCTTGAAGAATTTCCTTGTTCTGTTTTGACCACTTCTTCCTCGTCTGAGCACAGGTTTCACATGAGCACAATTCCATGTTCTGGGATCCTCATTCTTTTCAAGGTTAGCCAAAATTTCTTGTGATCACACTGTCTAATTCCTTTGCATTGCCAATGAAACACAAATAGGCTTTCCTTTGGTAGTCTCTGCTTTCAACCACATCCAGAATCTAGATTCTTCTCCATGCTCCACCCCCACTTATCTATGCGAAGTGATATTTTGAAATAACAGTTAATACTACATGTAAAACCAATAGAAGAAATATGCTGAAAAAATCTAGCCTGCCTAAAGTAATTTAATATACATATGGAAAGGAATAGAGAATGCATTACTAGTCTTCACAGACTTGGTCTTACCAATATCCTTTCAAGTATTTCCTGCTTGTTGGGATCAATGTTGGCTTGTTCAGTCTCACATTCTATTTCACATGTCTGTCTTCTAATTTCTACAGTGTCCTTTCCCAACAGCAGATTCCCATATCTAGGACACTCCTAATCTGCGAGAAGAGACTTAGATCAAAAAGTCTTGGTTAGACTTGGTTTGAGAGTACACTGGTTGGATTTAAAAAGGTGATTTGCTAAAACTGAAAAAAAAAATTATACTTACCTGAAAAGTAAAGACAACTAATAATATACGGTTCACTGTTCAGCATACACAGTTATGATGTCCCTAGTGCCATGACCTTTTCTAAAATCAATTTGCGCTTCTGGCAGGTCTCTGTGGATGTTCTGTTGCTGTCATTCGTAGATACTGTTCAGCAGATTTTGCCTGCATGTGATGTTAATGATATTGTTCACTAATTTCTACGCTCTGTTGTGTCATGATTCTTTTGAAATCGAGTAAATATGGATCTCTTCCAGTAGTTCACCAGGTAGCTGTCCTCCAGATTTCTTGGCACAACCTGGTAAGCACATCCAGGGTTTCTTTTGTCTGTTCAAATATGTCAATTGGTATTCATAAATTTCTGGGACATTGTTTTCTGCTAATTCCTTCAGAGCAGCTTTATCACCATTTTCTCTTGAGTGTATGTCGTTTCTAGAAATTCATCTCTATCAGCCAGTTCTTTTTGGTATAGTGACTCAATAAACTCCTTCCATCTTCTTTTAATACTTACTGTATTACTCAATTTTTGCATTTTTATTCCACTGCATTCTTAAGGGCTGTCACTTGAGGCTTATATCTGTCTTAAATTCCTTCAGATTAGGAAATGCAATGAATTCATCCCTTTTGATTCTCTGACTCCTCATCTAAAGGCATTGAACAAAATGTAACATTTCAATATTAATATTTTTTGTTCCAGACTTGATAAAATGGTAATTTTTATTGTTTGTATTTTAGCCTCCAGAAAATAAATGTTACAGATATTTATATATTTCCATATATATGAATAATTACAGATATAATTTTTCTTTTTTTTGAAAAATAATTTACATTCTTTAGGTATTTCAATCATTTTTTTTAGTTTATATATTAGCCATTCATATTTGTGGAGGAAAATTAGAAAAAAATATTTGTATATCACACAATCAGATTTCACAGAGGTTTAAATATGGAGTCAATAATGTTTGACCCAATGAAAAAATTAAGAAAAATGCTCATTGGGAAATAATCAGTAAACTTAATTAATATAAGGATCACAGATATAATCCCCTTGGGACTTCAATAATAAATGCTCATGGAAAGAATGCTTCCTTTCTTTCAGGCATTTCATCTCGATAAGGTTGAGGAAGTTCATTCCAAGTTTCAGTGTCTGAATGCTGAAATAAACAAACGCGATACTTCCTATATGCTGAAAATTGCTAACAGGTTATACGGCGAGAAGACCTATCATTTCCTCCCTGTAAGTAGTGCCCACTGTGTACTCTCAAATGCCCCTGGCCACAGCATAAAGTCAGTTCCAAACTTTCAACTCAAAAACTCAGCTCATCTTGTTAGTTATCTTTCTATTTTTACAATAATGGTGTTATGTATTATTTGTCCTTAATAAACTAAGTTAGTTCACACACCATAATCAGTGATGATTAATTTTATAAAACACATTGGGAATGAAGGAATGTGTGAAACACAATGTATGCTAATTATGCATGTGAACCAATATTTAAAAACCCACAACTACAGATAAACTCAAGTTTTTGCTCTTTAGTGTGAGTTGACTCCATTGAAACACCCCAGGGAAATTTTAGAATCTGTACTGCCCATCTTTCTCCCCCAGTGCATGGTGGGTTTGAACCACTTGTCTTTGTCATGGCAATGCAAATCCTTACCAATAGGCCACCAGTGTTTAGAAACATTTGATTCCAGTCTGACTTGATTGCCTGTGTCTGTGAGATTAGACTGCACAGAAAAGTGATACAGAAAGGTAACCTAACGTGGTGCAGAGAAGGTTGTCTTTCCATGACATGATGTTATATGCCATGGTGCCTGCAGCGGAAGAACGTGCCAGGAGCCCCTTGAACAGTCATCCAGTATTTGTTCTTTTATGAAAATCCTTTCAGACAATTTGATGGGAAGAATTTTTAAATTTGATAAAGGACTGAATGAAGAAGTGTTAAGACCTGCTGTGTGAGAACGGAATTTGGCCTCTTAGGATGATTGCTGTTGCTCTTACAGATTTTACATAACAATTTTTGTATGTAATAGAAACTACTCATAACACTACCTCTTTTTTGTTTATAGGATTTCTTGGCAACAATTCAGAAATTCTATGAGGCTGACCTGGCCAGTGTGGATTTCCAGCATGCCTCTGAGGACGTGAGGAAGGAGATAAACCAATGGGTCAAAGATCAGACAGAAGGTATGGGATAGAATGACATGTGAACCTTTACCTCAGGCCCAAGATCCTTCTCTGTGTTCCTTCCCTTCTCTCTTCCACTCCCTCAAGTCCTATCCAGATGCACTCAGAGTCAGATGGTGGTAAATGTGATGTCATCTCCCCACTTCATTAAAATCTTAAGAGCTTCCAAATATAAGAAATTTACTAAAATAATAGCTTAGACTCGTTATCCAAAGTATCTAGATTCTTCTCCATGCCCAACCCCCACTAACTTTGCTAAGTGATATTTTGAAATCATAGCTAATACTACATGTAAAACCAATAGAAAAATATGCTGAAAAAAAATCCAGCCTGATTAAAGTAATTTAATATACATATGGAAAGGAATAGTGAATGCATTACCAGTCATCACAGACTTTGTCTACCAATATCCTTTCAAATATTTCCTGCTTGTTGGGATAAATGTTGGCTTGTTCCGTCTCACACCGTATTTCACATGTTTGTCTTCTGATTTCTACAATGTCCTTTCCCAACAGCAGATTCCTATAACTAGGACACTCCTAGTCTGTGAAAAGAGACTTAGATCAAAAGGTCTTGGTTAGAATCATTATTATGAGAGCACACTGGTTGGATTTGAAAAGGTGATTTGCTAAAACTGAAGAAAAAAAATTATACTTATCTGAAAATTAAAGACAACTAATAATATAAGGTTCATTGTTTAACATACTATCAAATACAAATAGCCTTTTACACACGCCCACCAACAGTGAATAAGGGTTCCAGTTTCTTCACAACCTGGGCAGCATTTGTTATTCGTTGTTTTGTTGAATATTGCTATTCTTACTGGTGTACTATGGAGGCGTTATTGAGCTCTGGAATTCCACTACGGGGAATATACCTGAAAGAATCCAGAACTGCTTCCCAAGCAGATATATGTACATCTATGTTTACTGAGGCTTTGTTCACAATAACAAAGTTGGAAACAACCTAAGTGCCCACCAGTAAATGAATGGAGAAGTTGTGATTATATTCACACAATGGAATACTATACTACATTGAAAAATAAGGAACTAATGAAAAATACACAAAATGGATGATCCTGGAGGACATTATGCTGAATGAAATATATCAGTTACAAAAAGTAAATTCTGTATAATGTCATGATTATAAAAGAGAACGGACATAGGGTTTACGGGGACACTGAGGAAAAGTGGATAAATAATGTATACTGGAAACAGATGAAGGAGAGGACTGTTTAAAAGGGATATATAATTAGGTATTATTGTTATGACAGGAGTCGAGCATGAAGGCAGGATAGTGGAATGGACTTCCGGTGGAGGGATTTTATAACGATGAAAGAATTTTCCTTTTACTTTTCAAAGAGGAGCAAATTGGGGGAAGGGTGGGCAGGGAGAAAAGTACAATAATGAATGACTTGAAATCCAAAGTCTCTGTAAACTTTCATGAAAATTAATTTTTTTAAAAAATTAAAACTTAAAAAAACCTGGAAAAAACAGCCTTTTAGGACACACTTACCAAGTGTTGACATTCTGTATGGTTAGATGTGTTCACGTTCTGGTTTACATAACAAATTCCTTTAAACTTTGACTTAGTGCTAGAGAAGAATATTGACCATAGCATGGACTTCCAGGAGAACAATTAAGTCTGTCTTGGAAAGAAGTTTCTACTTGAAGGCTAGGATTTTGAAGCTCCTTCACAAATACTTTGGGCATGTGGCCAGGAGGGATCAGTCTTGGACAAGACATCATGCTTGGAAGCATGGAGGATACAGAGCAGGAAAGGAATCCCCTGGATAAAATGAACTGACATGGTGACTGGAGCAATGCCCTTAGATGTGTCAGAGTCAGTGAGTCTGGCTCAGAATAGGGCAGGGTTCAGATCTTTGTACCTAAGGTTGCTATGAGTCACAGGAGACTAGATGGCACATAACAAGAGCAACAACAAAGTTTGACTTCTGTAACCAAGATAAACTTTAAGCAATTTAAACCTTAGTTGAGTTTACTAACTGACTTCCTAGTTAAAGGAGAATGAAGTAGAAAGCTATACATTTGAACCACATTTGAACGCTAGTGTAACATTGGTTCAAATTGGGTTTAAGATAGGAAGATTTTTTAAAAAAATTTTTCTTTGTCTTTTCAGGGAAAATTCCAGACTTGTTACCTTCAGGTGTGGTTAACAACTTGACTAAACTTGTGCTGGTGAATGCCATCTATTTCATGGGGAAGTGGAAGAACATATTTAACAAAAACTGCACAAAGGAAGCCCAATTCCATTTGAATAAAGTAAGGAAGTGTAACATTACAAAATAACTTGATGTGGGAAGGGTGTGAGGGTAATGGAAATAATCTGTTCTTGAAAATAATTTATTCAAATTTTGTAAATAAACTAGTATAAAATTTTTAAAAAACCCCTTCTTACAGTTAACTTGAGTGATATGTCTCTTTCACTTGCTCAGAAAGATAAAAAAATGGTGAACGTGATGTATCAGGAGGAAACATTTCCATACGGCTATATCGATGAAGTAAAGTGCCATGTGTTAGTACTGCCTTATGAAGACAACGACCTCAGCATGGTCATCCTGCTGCCACATGACATTGACGATGACTCCACAGGTCTGAAGAAGGTAATGCCGAGATTGCCCGATTCCTCCCTTGTATGTCAGCTGGGAGATGTTCTGTCACTATTTACTGACACTGACTTTCCTTCCCAGTTCATTCTGAGTCCCTTGAAATTAGTCCACCTACATTTACTACCCCAATATCCTAGGCTAAAAGATTAAGGAAAGTTTTACAAATCAGAGTGATGGCAGACATCTAAAGAATGACATTAAATTTAGTATTATTACTGGAAAATTATGTAAATTCTGCTCTGGGACCAACTTTACAGGGAAGTTCAGCACAGAGAACGGCTTCCTTGAAGGGGGATAAAAAAGACTGAAAATGAAATGGAAAACATTATAATGTATAGCTGCTTCAAATACAAAGAAATTATAATCATTATTAGCATGCTACATATGTTGTTGTTATGTGCTGTCGAGTCACCTGTGACTCAGCTACCCTATGTACCTGACACACCTATTGTCTCTGACACACCTACCACATTACCCCAGTCACTGAATAAATCCATCTCACTGAAGGTTTTCCTCTCCTTTGCCATCCCTCCTCCCTTTTGAGCATGACGTCCCTCTCCAAGGACTGATCTCACTTTGAAACATGCCCAAATTATATTAGACAAATCTTCATAATCTTTGCCTCCAATGAGTAGCCAGGCTTCACCGTCTCAGATGAATTTGTTTGTTTCCTAGCAGTCCATGGAATATTTAATATTCTTCTCCAACACCACATCTCAAAGGCATCAACACTCCTTCTTTCATTCCTAGTCATTGTCCAGTTCTCTGACGCATAGTAAGTAACTGCCAAGACATGGCAGCCAGTATCAGGTGCACCTTAGTCTCCAGACTGACATTGTTGCTCTTCAGTACTTTGGAGAGGTCTCTGACAGCAGACTTTTCCATTAAAACCTGCTTCAATACAGTCTTTTAATTTCCTGGCTGTTGGTACACCAAGAGTGTTGATTGTAGAGCCAAGCAAACTGAAAATGTTAACAATCTCAATCTCTTCACCATTTATTATGATGCTTTTAATTAGCCCAGTGGTGAGAGTCTTAATGATGAGCTTTAGCCCACATTGAAGGCTGAAGTCCTCGACCTTCTGCAGCAAGTGCTTCAGGTCCTTCTCACTTTCAGCAAGCAAGGTTGTATCATCTTCTCCCAGGAGATTAACTGCCTCTGAAAACCCACTGGAGGTTCAAATAACCCGCTGGAGGGTCATCTATCCCCCTGGAGGGTCAACTAACCTCCTGGAGGGTCAACTATTGGTCGATTCTGACTTTACTGGACTCAACAACAACAACAATGCTACATATAGATCACAAGTTATATTTGCAAAACTTTCATGATAGAAGAGAAGGGGTAATTGGAACTTTAGTCCTACATCCTAATATAACATTACATAAGCTTTCAAGTACATGTAATTTAGATTTCTGACATCTACCATTTGCTCTGAGAAAGAAAGTTGGGCGACCTCCATCTAGGGACTTTAAGCCTCTGAAAACTAAGCTATTAGATTGTTCTGATTCAATGGCTAGTGAGTGGTTTGGGTTTTGGCTAATAAATTGTTTGGATTTTGTGGATTCTTTTGTTTGTTTTATCTCTTTTTAGGATTAGAACTAGGCCAAATTTTTCTACGAGGATCCTCCTATGCTGTTTGTGTGATCTTAAAAAAGTTTAATTGTATTACTTATAATATTAATACAGTTAATTGGTTCAAAATGTGTGCACTCTTATCCAATCTAGTTTTCTATTAGGAATAAGGTCTAAAATCAGTTATTTGCACTTATATTGTATGTATGAAAATTAATGGAATGCTTATTTTAATGCAATTTTTATATTTATTATTTGTGACTTAAAAAAACTCCTTCTCTCATAAATAGCTTGATATGAATAGGATGAGTGGAAAAATGGTTTCATTACTGTTGTATAGTAATAATAACAGTTGTTTGTTGCTGTTATGTGCTGTCGAGTCACTTGCGACTCATAGCGACCCTATGTACAACAGCCCTAAACTCCGCTCTGTCCTGTGCCAATCGCACTGTCTCTGACACTCCCACCCCAATTATCCCAGTCACTGAATCAATCCACCTTATAGAGGGCCTTCCTCTCCTGCGCTGTCCCTCCACCCTCCCAAGCATGATATCCCTCTCCAGGGACTGGTCCCTCCTCACGACATGTCCAAAGTATGTTAGACGGAGCCTCAGAATCTTTGTCTCCAAGGAGCCAACCGGTTTAACCCTTTCCAGGACAAATCTGTTTGTTTTCCTAGCAGTCCATGGTATTCTCAATACTCTTCTCCAGCACCACAGCTCAAAGGCATCAATTCTCCTTCTATCCTCCCTGGTCATTATCCAACTCTCTGATGCATAACAAGTGATTGCAAAGACCATAGCCTGTATCAGACGCACCTTAGTCTCCAGAGAGACACCATTGCTCTTCAGTACTTTGTAGAGGTCCCTAACAGCAGACTTTCCCATGGCAATGTGCCTTTTAATTTCTTGGCTGCTGGTGCCAAGACTGTTGACTATGGAGCCAAGCAAACTAAAGCTGTGTACAATCTCAATCTCTTCACCATCCATCCTGATGCTGCCAATTGGTCCAGTGGTGAGAATCTTTGTCTTCTTGACATTGAGCCTCAAAATCCACATTGTAGGCTGCAGTCCTTGACACTCTGCAGCAGGCGCCTCAGGTCCTCTTCAGTTTCAGCAAGCAGGGTTGTGTCAAGCCCATAACACAGTTTGTTGATAAATCATCCACCAATCTTGACCCCACATTTCTCCTCATAGAGCCCCGCCTCCAGGATAATCTGTTCTGCATATAGGTTGAAAAGGTATGGTGATAGGATGCATCCCTGGCATACGCCCTTCCCAATTTTGAACCATGCAGTGTTCCCTTGCTCTGTTCTGACGACTGCCTCCTGGTCCAAGTATAAGTTTCACATTAGAATGATCAAGTGTTCTGTAATATGAATAATATTATTATTGTTAGGTGACATTGAACTGACTGTGACTCGTAGAAACACTGTGAACAATAGAATGAAACACTTTTGGTTCCTGTGCAGTTCTCACAATCACTGCTGCTCTTGAACTCATTGTTGAATCCACTGTGTCCGTTCATCTCCCTAAGGGTCTTTCTCTTATGTAGTACTTCCTGAATGCCAAGTGCTTTATAGAGATTAAATTATGTAATGCTCCAACAATACTAAGAGTATTTTCATTCTCTCTATTTTACATAAAGATCTAGCCCTAACATACTGCCTGACTGTTTATAATTCATCTCAGTTTCTCACTCTCATTGCCATCAATTGACAATGACTCTTAGCTGACCCTCCAGTGAGCTTTCAGAGACTATAAATCCTATAGAGGTATATTGCTTCATTTTTCCCTGGAGGAATTTGTGGATTGGCACCAACTGCCTTTAGATTGCCAGTGTAACTCTTACCAACAAGGGCATCAGGACTTAAATTTATTAGTACTTATTTCCTTAGGTCTACTGAGTTTCACCAGCAACAATGGTTTTAAATAGGAAGAGAAGAAGGTGTTTCAATGTATCCTTATATCACTCCACCAATTAGCACTCTGAAAATTAGCATCATGTTGGCCTATCACAGTGCTCCATGTGTGATGGGGACTTAGTAAATTCTGAGTGAGTGAATGGATGGCAAATGGATGATGAAACAAATATGGGTGGTTATTAATAATGGCCTTCTTTAGTGCAAAGTCATTATCTTTGGGCTTTGATGACCTGGAACTTGACTGTTATTAACAGTTGCTATGAATTTCCAAAAGGAACCAAACCCTTCCCAAAATATCTGATTTTACACAAATGTGAAGGAAACAAATTAGACTAGTACCAAAATGAAGGTTTTTTACTTTGCTTATTATATTTTGGTAGCAAGAGTGACATCTTCCTAAACAACATGCCTCTGAAAACTATGAACTTTGATAAATGTTGATAGTTATAGAAAGATTTCAAGCCTTTTACTCATAGGGTCGCTATGAGTTGTGCTCAACTGGAAAGCAAACAACAACAATTGTTTTAAATGAGATTGAGTTCATTTCTTCTTCTTTTTTTTTATTCTCATTCCAGATTGAGGAACAGTTGACTTTGGATAAACTGAATGAGTGGATCAATTCTAATAATTTGAAGGCGAACGATGTCTTCGTCTACTTGCCTAGGTTTAATCTTGAAGAGAGCTATGATCTCAAAGACCACCTGGTCAGCCTCGATGTGCAGGATATACTTGATCCTAGTAAGGCAGATCTGTCTGGAATATCAGGAGCCAAAGATCTTTATGTATCAGAGTTTGTTCATAAATCCTTTGTGGAAGTAAATGAAGAGGGTACAGTGGCTGCAGCTGCCACAGAAGAGAAGATAATATTTTTCTGTGATTCATTAGAACCACCAATACATTTCAATGCCAACCATCCATTCCTTTTCTTTATCCAACACAATGCCTCAAAGTGCATCCTCTTTTTTGGCCGATTTGCTTCTCCTTAGAAACTGTTGAAATGCAGTCAGATCTACAGCCTTATTACTTGGGCTTTTAGTGGTAAAAAGAAGTATAAACGAAACCTTTTTCCCCAGAAATAAGTTTTCTCAGAACAGCTTTGTCTACTGAATAGGGCTATGTGTTTCCCTTTTTCAGTGGGAAAATTCAGTGGATGTTTTTCAGTGTTGAATACATCAATCAATCAATCAATAAGCAAACAAATAGGAATGAGTGAGATTCTTTTCTAACACGGAAGGGCTTGATGCTGTTACAGTTTCTTTCATGGATAGAATTTGAGTATCTATAAATAAGAGATGGGAGCTCTGATAACCTAGTGGTAAGAAATTTCCCTGCAATACCAAAGGAATGCAAATTGAATATTCCAGTCCCTCTGAGAGAGAAAGATGTGCAATTTCCTTCTGAAAGATTAAACTGTGTCTGTAAATCTTCTGGTAGGTTGTCTATGAGTCGGTTCTGAATTGAGGACACATAACAACAACAAAATTGGAAAGAAAAACATAAAACCTTGAATCAGAGACATCTCTAGTCAGGAATATCCTGTGTGCTGACGTTCGGCTTAAAAATCTATATTCAACTGAAATAAAGTATAAAACCCCAATGCAAGGCCTACATTTTGAAGAAAGCCTAGCTTTGGCCTATTTATCTTTCTCTTTGTTCAGAAGAATTAAGTCTATATTTCTCTATTTGTTAAAAAAATATTTTCTTTTTCTTCTTTTAAAAGTTTACACTCCAGATAAGGTTGACATTTAGTAGTTTCTACACATTGTTCAGTGACATTGGCTACATTCTTCATAGTAGTGAACATTTCAATTATTCCCTTTGTATCTTTTTTATTATTCCATTTTGCCTTTTTAAAATAATCGTTAATGTGTTATGTATATCCTATTTTCCAAATGATTAAAGGATTACCAGGTAAAATGTTGTAGTCACTTTTTCTTTTTCCTTTACTCTACTTGATATGTAGAGATCATGTCAGATTAGTGGACCCACGAAATCAAAGGATTCTCACGGTAGATCATATTTATCAAGGCAGTGGGAAAGATTTCATCTATTTTTGTTGTTGTTATTGTTATGTGCCATGAGCTGCTTGTGACACATAGCAACCCTATGTACAAAAGATAGGAACCCTGCTCTATCATCTCATGGTCTCTGATACACCTATTCCATTACCCCATTCACTGAGTCAATCCATTTCATCTTGTGTCTTCTTCGCCTGTGGTGACTTTCCACCCTTCCAAGCATGGTGTTCTCTCCAAGGACTAGTCCTTCCTTGAAACATACCCAGAATATATCAGATGGAGCTTCAGAACCCTTGCCTTCAAGAAAATGCCTGGTTTCACCCTCTGCAGAACAACCCTCTCTGTTCCCTAGCAATTTATGATATAGTCAATAATCTTCTCCAGCACCACAACTCAAAGGTATCAATTCTCTTTCTATCATCCCTGGTCCAGCTTTCTGATTCATATCAAGTGATTATAAAGATCATCTCTTAGGTCAGGAGCACCTTAGTCTCCAGACTGACAGCGTTGCTCTCAGTACTCTGGAGCGTTCCCTGACAGCAGATTTTCCCAGTGCAATTTGTCTTTTCATTTTCTGTCCTCTGGTACCAAGAGTTCATTGGGGAGCCACACAAACCAAAGTTGTTAACAATCTCAACCTCTTCACCATCTAGCATGCTGCTGATCAGACCAGTGGTGAGAATCTTTGTTTTCTTGATATTAAGCTTCACTCTCTATTGAAGGCTGCTCTTCTTGACCTTCTGCAGCAAATGCCTCAGATTTTACTCTGTTTTGGCAAGCAAGGTTGTGTCATCTGTGTAACACAGGTTATTCAATCCTGGTGCAACATTCCTCTGTATAGAGCCCCGCCTCCCAGATGATCTGTTATGCATATAGATTAAAAAGGTATGAAGATTGGATACATACCTGGCGTACACTTTTCCTGATTTTGAACCATGCAGTGTTTCCTTGCTCTGTTCTGATAATTGCCTCCTGGTTAAGTATAGGTTTTATGTAAACACAATCAGGGGTTCTGGGAATCCAATTCATCTCAGAGTCATCCACAGTTTGTTGTGATCCACACAGTCAAATGCCTTTGCGTAGTCAATGAAACACAGATACGTATTCCTCTGATACTCCTTGCTTTCAGCAAAGATCCATCTAACATTGGCTATAATATCTCTAGTGTAATAACCTCTTCTAAACCCAGCATGCACATCTGGAATTTCACTGTTGATGGTTTCACATACACACACATATTCAATTTTGGAAGGTTATGAGAAATGAAGGAAATATTAATAAATACATAAGCTGTTTAATGGGAAAGGGAGTGAGAAAATTATGCATTAATGATTTTTTTAAAGGGAACTGAAGGGGTTAGGGAAGATAATGTACAACAGTGGATGAATGAAATTATAACTTTTCTGTAAACTGTTGTTAAAATTACTATTAAAAGTATGTAAAATAAAATTTAAAAAATAATGGGAAAGGAAATACATAATGAAAGTGTGACTTGTGTTGTTTGGTGTGAAGTGCTGTGTCCTATCCTGTGCCATCTTCATCATCTCTGACACATTTGAGTGCATTGCTGAAATCATTGTGTCAATCCGTCTCATTGAGAGTCTTCTTATTTTTCACTGACCCTGTATAAATTCCAAGCATGATGACTTTTTCTTTTTTTCCATTGAAATGTTATTATAAGTTTATAAAGAACTTGGATTTCCATTCATTCATTATTGCACATTTTCTCCTAATACCCACTCCCACCACTAGTTCACTTTTTTCTTTGGAACAAAAAGTTCCTTCATTGTTATACAGTCCCTCCCCTTCACCCCCACAGACCACTTTACTATGCAGTTCTTATTCCAAACTCTTGTCATACCAGTAATACCTAATCATATATTCTGTTTTTTACGATTCTCTCTGTCATTTGTTTCAATGCCATGTACATTATTTATCCCCTTTTTCTTAATTTTTCCAGAAATCCCATGTCAGTTCTGTTTTATAACAGTGGCATTATGCAGTATTTGTCTTTTGTGACTAAGATATTTCACTCAGCATAATGTCCTCCATGATTACCCATTTTGTATAATATTTCATGAGTTCTTTGTTTTTTACTGCTGCATAACGTTCCATTTTGTAAATATACCACTCCCCTGTTGAAACAAGCTTGGAAGCACGAGTAGCATCCACTTCCATAAATAGCTTGCCTCCAGAAATCCTGTGAACCTGGAGAAAGTATGAAAGTCATGTAGGCAAGTGTTGAGGACTTTCATTCCTAGGGTCGCTATGAGTTGCCTACGACACCTCGGCACTTAACACAGAGAGAGATCAGTTGGCGTAGTGGATCGAAAGAGATGATACCAAGCCAAAGGTGGGTGACTCCAATCTGCAGCCCTAAGGCCTGTTTTTCATTGCTATTGTTCAAACATTCTTCTAGGTCATGTAGCCCTGTCTGTCCACTTGCTGCACAGAGGTAACTCGTGGTTGCTGTGAAGCTGAACACTGTGACACTGATGTGTCAAATGTGATAATGGTGACCCATGGTGGATAGGGTTTGGTGGCGCTCCCCGATTTATATAAGCTTTGAGGCACGAGTGGCATTCACTTCAGTAAATAGGTTGCCTCCGGAAACCCTATGAACTTGGAGAAAAGATGAAAGTCAAGCATGCAAGTGTCGAGGACTTTCGTTCATAGGGTCGCTATGAGTCGCCTACGACTCGACGGCACTTAACAGCAACAACAACAACAACATAAAGTACTAGGCATTTAGGAAGTGCTACAGAAAGAGAAGCTTAAGGTAGAGGAGCTCTAGTGGCTTGGTGGTAAGGAGCTGCATTGCAATCCTGAAGGTATACAGTTCCAATTAACCAGCAGCTCTGCGGGAAAAGGATGGACAACCTCCACCTGTGCGATTAACTACTTCTGAAAACCTGCTGGAGAGTCAGCTATGGGTCCTTTCTGACTCGACATTACACCACTACCACAACAGCAACATGTAAAGAGAAAGATGCTTAAGGAGATGAATGGACACAGGAACTGCAGCAATGAGTTCAAGCATAGCAGTGACTGTAATAAAGGCACAGGAACGAATAGTGTTTCATTCTGTTGTTCACAGTGCTGTTATGAGTCAGTCAGTTCAATGTCGCTAACAACAACAATTATATTACTGTTACAATTACTATTGGAATGTAGTAAAACCATCATTATACTAATCCTATTGATAAGAGAAGTGTTATTTTTTAAATTAGAAAAGAAAGCAAACATAAAAATCTAACTGAAGCAAGCAATTGATTGTTTTTCATACCTACAATTTAAGTGTATATGACTAATATTAGACCCTATTCCTAATAGAAAGTTTGACTTGCACAAAAGTACACATTAATTTTGAGCCAATTAACTATTTTAAATATCATAAGTAATAAAATTAAACTTTAGGCGAGCTCTGGTGGCCTAGTGGCAAGAAGCTGCTCTGCAATCCCAGAGGTGAGCGGTTCAAATCCACCAGATGCTCTGCTGAAGAAGGAGGAACCTTCTGTACCAGTCAGATCCGATTTGATGGTACACACATAAATAATAATAAAAATTAAACTTGA